TCGCAGTTTCGAATGAAAGAAGAGAAGGAGCAGATAGAAACTAGTAATAAATGAACTTCCATTAAATTCGGTTGATGCGTTTCTACTGGGACCATAGTTACTGGCCTGAAACAGGATTTTCGCAGTTTGCCATTTGGAGCAAACATTTTTTGGCGCCACCGGGTGGACTCAGAAGGACTTATCATCATATAAACATAGCAGATCAGCTATGTAATGCCTCACGCATTTGTGTGTCCTATCTTTGTATTTCAGGCTCTACTAAATTTAACGGTTCTTCATATGTAGAACTGTCCATTTGAAGAAAGTTTTTTAAATCCATAGGAGACGTTTTATGCAACTCCTTTAAAAGCTTCGGATGTGTGAGTTTTAGCCACATTGCGTACCATTCCTTCATCCACATACTGTGCTTCCTTTTTTTTGCCTTCATTTTGTTTTTTCCTTTTTTCTAAGCAAATACTTATTGCCATAAGAAGCGTTGGGGACCGTGAATGCATACCAAATAACTGAGACCAATTACCCAAAGGCACTGGCCGCCTTAAATCGGGTGTACGACAATCAAGGCTTAATTTTTTTATATTGTATTTCACGCCTCTTCTACATCCCCCCAAAACAGGGGCCGTCCGCCTTGTCACTGCGTCACATGATAGATACTTTCACAGCTATCTACGAATCCTTGCTTTCACTAGGCAGTGACAAGGTAATAGCAAATGCAAGGCTCATACGCATCTTCATGACCAAAGTGGACGCAAAAACTAAGTCTAGAGGGAAGAAAGTTTAGACTTTCAAAACATCCCATTATGGCAGGATTGCCAAGATGCACTCAATAAACGCTACCAAAATTTAGCAGCAGATGAAGCTACGTCAAGCACGAAAAAGTCTCGTAAGCTGGGGCGGCCAAATTCTTTAATTCTTTAGTAAAACTTCCTTGTCCGTTGCCAATACCACTCGAACCCAGGATCCAAAATGCTATTATTGCAAAGCTGTGGATCACTAAATTCACGCGTGCAGTTTGTTTGTGGCCGCAACAGTCGCTACACGATTCAAATTCGCTAAGACAATCCCATTGCGCATAAACTGCTTAAGGAAAGGGCATTCCGTTCTTTCGTGTCAATGCTCTAAGTGTCGCGTGTGTTCGAAACCACATCATTCACTGCTTCATAGATACAGCTACGACTCTTCACCGTCCGAACTAGCTTCCACTTAAGAGAAGATTGTGACACAACCTTTGACCACCTCTGCCGTTCACCACGCCATGACAGCCGACTCAAATCAGATTGTATTAGCTACAGCCCTTGTTAACATTACAGGTAGCAATGGTCAAATGCATATTTCTCGTGTGCTTTTAGATTCCGGGTCACAGGTAAACTTTATAACAGAGGAGTTATCCAAAATTCTAAAACTTAAGTGTGATCGAAAAGACACAAACCTTTTTGGAATAGGTCAATCAGCCATGTAGTTCAAGCAACTATACACTCCCGAACACAGGCATTTCAATTAGATGCTGAACTTATTGTTCTGAAGTCAATATCATCGTCCCAACCAGAGAGGGCAGTTCAAGGGTTAGACTGGAACCTCCCTGACAACATAAAGTTAACTGATCCACTGTTCCACAAACCTCAGAGAATTGACATATTGCTTGGTGCTGACGCATTTTTTGAGTTGTTAAAGGAAGGGAAATTTAAGCTGGAAACATACGGTCCAGTCCTACAAAATACCGTTTTTGGATGGATCGTATCAGGTCGGTGCAACTCATCAAAACCAAATTTCAAATAGGCTTGAACATTGAGGTGTTGAGCGCGGTTCAAGATCATTGCAGTTTAGACATGTTGGTTCAAAAATTCTGGGAAATAGATAGTCTCCCGAGCATTGCACAGAATAAAATTTACACTCCTGAGCAAATTATGTGCGAAAAAGCATTCATCGAGAGTATTGTTCGGTTACCCTCCGGTCGACTTCACGTTTCATTGCCATTTAAGTCCAGCCCTACTTGTTTCGGCTCGTCGTTTGAAATCGCAAAAAGGCGGTTCTTAGCACTAGAAAGGAGGATGTCCAATAACCCAGAAATAAATTCTATGTACGTTGCCTTTATGAAGGAGTACATTTTCTTAGACCACATGACGTTGGTCAATGATGAAATTCCGACTGAGCCTCATTTCTTCATTCCTTATCAATGTGTGCTCAGACCGCAAAGTTCAAGCACTAAACTTAGAGTGATTTTTGAACAGCCCTGTCTATACGCTACATTGCTAAGGTTTCGTCTTCGCAAATACGCTATTACAGCAGATATCGTCAAAATGTACAGACAAGTGGAAATAACTGAATCCCATCGTAATTTTCAACTAATAGTATGGAGACAGTATAAGGATGAAAAATTACAAGTCTATCGCTTGATTACCATTACATACGGCACGGCCTGCGCACCGTTCTTAGCTATCCGCTGCCTCAAGTACCTTAGTGAGATATATTCAGTTTCTCACCCTCTAGGATCCTTAGTCTTATCGAATAGCTTCTACGTTGACGATCTTTTGTCAGGCGCGGATACAATCGAAGAACTTACGTCGATGCGAAACGAAGCAGTTGAAATCTTAGGCTCGGCCGGGCTTGTTCTTTCGAAGTGGGCAACCAACTGTGAGCAGCTAATAGATCTTCTAATAGATCAGTCTACAGATGTATCTGTCGGGGAGCACGAAGATACAAAGGCGTTAGGCCTCGTTTGGAACCCAAAACATGACATCTTTAAGTTTTCTTTGCGAGAGATGTGTACAAGCAATGCACCAACAAAAAGATCTATGTTATCCCTTACTGCTTGCATATATGATCCTCTCGGGCTTATCTGTCCTGTTGTCACAAAGGCTGCAAACACATCCTTCAAAACTAAAAACCTTTGTTGCCAACCGCGTCAGTGAGATTCAAGAGATGACCTCATGGGCGAGTTGGCGCCATGTACCCACGACAGCCATCCAGCAGACTTTCCATTTGGGGGTTGTCAGTTAATGAATTAAAAAATTCATTTGGATTTGATGGTCCCCACTTCTTGACTCAAGATCAAAGGCTTTGGCTTAAAATACAAAAATTCAGCAAATCAACACTAACGAAGAGTTAGAGATTCGGAATATAACTACTAGCCACGTTACAACACAACTCGAGCCGAATCCGACAGAAAAAATTGTCGAAAATTCATCTTCATTTCTTAAAGTAATGCGCATTGTTGCGTACTTCCTACGATTCGTTAACGCAACAAAATCTCGCTCGTGGTCTTCGCTAAATCCTACCTCGGTTGAGCTCGGCTCGGCCTTTTTACTCGTTGTAAGCGTCATCCAGAAAAATGCATATAAAAGTGAACTCATAAAATTACAAAAATCAGTTAAATTGCCAGACTCACTTCAAAAATTAAGTCCATTCGTTGTGACTGAATCAATTGGAAAGCTTCAGGTGTCTTTGTTGCGAGTATGAGGTAGATTGTTCAATGCACAGTTAAGCTACAGCGTAAAGTTTCCGTTTCTTATGCCAAAGGGCAACAGATTCGTGAGTTTATACATTCAACATCTGCATAGAACAGACTGTCATGCAGGACCCAGAGCATTGGATAGTCTTATTCGCCAAACAATATGGCTCATAAATGCTAGGCGCGAATGTAGCGCGGTCGTACGACAATGTGTACATTGCTTTCGATACAAGCCAAAATTAGCTTCACAAATAATGGGTAACTTACCAGCCGACCGTTTGATAGGAACAAGGCCGTTTGCAATTAGTGGATTTGTTTTTTTTGGGCCGATTCGAGTATCGCTAGGAATTCGTGGCAAGCCACCAATCAAGATGTATGTATCAATATTCATTTGCTTCCTGTCAAAAGCCGTTCATCTTGAACTTGTAAAAGATCTCACCGCTAATACATTCATTATGTGCTTATCTAGATTTGTCAGAAGACGTGGACCCATCGAGAAATTGTATTGCGATAATGCCACGAATTTCTTGGGCTCGTCTCGCATCATACATGACCTAATGAGCAAATTGGAAACCCATAAGGACGCTATGACAGCATTTGGAGCACCTCGTCGATTCGAATTTATCTTCATCCCTCCCAGAGCCCCACATTTTGGAGGGCTTTGGGAGGCGGCCGTTAAATCGGCTAAACACTTGTTTCTCCGAGCTGTGGGTAACGCGTTAGAAGTCGAGCTCCAGACGGTGATCGTAGAAGTTAAAGCAGTGCTGAATTCGCGGCCGATTATCGCTGACGGCTCAATCCCAAACGATGGTGAAGCTATAACCCCTGGGCACCTCCTCGTCGGGACCAGCTTGGCGACCGCTCAGGCAAATGTGAAACCGAATTTATCGTTTCTTCAGCCAACTCAGACATGGCTTTTGGGCATCATCACTGAAACGATTAAAGGTGCTGATGGAAGGGTCCGAGTGGCTATCGTCAAAACTAAAAATGGAATCTACAAACGTGCTGTCCATAGACTAGCACCATTACCTATCAATTTAAGCCCTTCGGCCATTCAACGCGGGCGATGTTTAGTCGTAATTGTTTTTAAAAATAATATGTGAGGGAAATACGTAGAACTCGGGCATAGCAAGCTACGAGCAAATAAAATAACCCCCAACGAGCCCGAGCTGCAAGATATCTACGTGTGTTCCTTACGCCCTCATATTTTTATGAGAAATATTAGAATTGTACCGCCTAAAGATATTATCGCTCTGTTAAGGACTCGTTCTTGTCACTCGCTGCGTCGCAGTTGCGAATGAAAGAAGAGAAGGAGCAGATAGAAACTAGTAATAAATGAACTTCCATTGAATTCGGTTGATGCGTTTCTACTGGGACCATAGTTGCTGGCCTGAAACAGGCATTTCGTTTGCCATTTGGAGCAAACAGATATATTTTGCCGGTGTTGCTTAAGAATATATAAAACTTCAAATTGCATATTTATTATTATTATTATTATATTATTTATTTTATATAACCTAAAATAATAAATCTTTCACTTTTTTAATATGGAAAATACATGGTAACGTTAATTTATTCTATGGCTTTATCCATAAAGTCTAAGAAACGTTTTGCATATTGTTCGGGATCGCATGTTGATATTCCATCCACATTACTTCCATATTTCACCGTTTTTGCTGCCTTTGCTGCCTGAAAAACAAATAAATTTAATGCTATAAAAAAATCGAACTAAATGAAAATAATTATATTTATAGCTATAAATATTACTATTAAATATCAAGTTAAAGCCCTTATGTCATTTTTAAAACCGAGCCACCGACTAAAATTACAAATTGAAATTCGTTCTTTTTTGGAACGCTAAAACAATAGAAATACATATACCTTATATACGGCCATGGCCCCAAATAACCAATAAATTTAAGCAAGAAAGAAAAAAAACTTTAACAAATGATCCAATACTTACTTGTTTTTTTACGCCGTATTGAGTGAGAACATCAATAATAGCAATAAAGTAAATTTCTCGCTTTTCTGAAAATATAAAATTAGTGATAAATATTAATTTACTATGTGTTATAATAAAGCAAAATGGTTCAGACAAAAAAATTCCAGGCAAAACGGGTCGGGTCATAAACTGCAAAGTTACGTTAAAATATAAATTTTTGGAAAAGAAGCCCCGGTGGTAATCGTTAACTCCTTGGCTTTATTTAGGTGTATAAAATATTTAAGGTGTGTTAAAGCTATTGACTTCGTAAACTTTGTACACGCCTTTTTTTCCTTTGTTTTTTTTGTTTAATTTTTTTAGGTCTTGCTATCTGCGTGGTCTTACGTGGACGAAAGAGGACGGCGGACGGGGGACGGCGCGGAACTGTCCCTGAAACACCACGGGCACACTGCATAGCAGAGAACTGCAAAAATCACTACTTTTTGATTTAATCATATGCCAACTTTTTCAATCAACTCAACTCACTGAACGAAACACAGTGATGAGTAAAAATCAACTCATTTTGCCGTACGCATCATTCCAATCATCTTGTGACCTCGGTTCAAAATTTCTCACTCAATTCAACTCACTGAACAAAAAACAGTGATGAGTGAAAATCAACTCATTTTGCCGTACGCATCACTCCGATCCAAAAAATGTGCAGGTGTATACGAAAGCATCAATGGGATCAACTTGAGTTGAGTGTGGATGACTAAACGATTAGCGACAAGACGACACAATGTGAGCGTTACGACTGCATGTACAATAACAATTTCTATGCCAGCTTCTTGTAGTTTAGCTTGTAGTTTGTAGCGTGTTCTTTTATTTGTTTTTTTTTGGTCAAATTCTTCGTTTTGCTTCATATTACATTTTAGTACTTCATAATTAGTTGCATTTTGTTACTTGATTGATATGGGGGGTATCATTGAAAAAATTCGCGCAAATGAATTGGCTGCCCGACATAAGGGTAGAAGTAATATTTGGAACATATTAACAGAAATTGTTAAGGAGGATGGCGTTGTTCTGGATGGTTTTTTATATTGCCGATCTTGTCATAATCTTGTGAAATACTCACCGAAACAGACTTCAAATTTAAGCCGACATAAATGCTGCAAATTGCTTAAAGAGTCAAACTTGTTGACTACAGCGAAACCAGAGGACAAAAAAGATGCTATTGACGCATGTGTGGAATGGGTGACACAGGACTGCCGACCCTTTTCATCAATTAATGGCAATGGATTTAGGAACATGGCAAAGTTTCTAGTCAATATTGGTGGAAGGTATAAGGAAAGGGTTGATCTTGATGACCTGCTGCCTGATGCAACGACGGTGTCTCGAGCTACGCAAAAGTTGGCGGATGAGAAAAAAAACATGATTAAAGATGAGATAGCCGAAGTTGCTAATAGTGGTGGAGCAACTGCCACAGTTGACTTGTGGACGGACAGTTACGTTCATCGCAACTTTCTTGGTGTCACCTTGCACTACCAAAAAGATTTTAAATTGGTAGATCTCATCTTAGGTGTTAAGTCAATGGACTTCGACCGTTCAACTAGCACAAATGTTTTAAACAAGTTGAACACTTTGTTTGCTGAATTCGGCATATATAATTTGGACCAAATGAAGCTCGTTACCGATCGAGGCACAAATATTGTCAAAGCTTTGCAGAATAAGATTAGGTTAAACTGCAGCAGCCATTTGCTTGCCAACGTTTTGGAGAATTCGTTTAAGGAATCTAAAGAAGTTGCTGAATTAGTAGAAATGTGCAAAAAAATTGTCAAATATTTTAAGAAATTTACAGCTAATTTACAACATCATCTACAAACATCTGTAAAAAATCAATGCCCAACAAGATGGAATTCGAATTTCACAATGTTTAAGTCTATTGCTTATAAACATATCAACCCTAAAACAATTGGTAGACTTATGTAGCGATTTCGAAATAATTTTTAAGAAGCTTCAATTCTGCAGTTCTCCATCCTTGTGTTTTGTGATACCTTCAATTGAAAAAATGAGGCATATTTGCGCGCCACAAGAGGAAGATGTACCGGCACTGGTAACATTAAAAGAAAAGATATGTAATAACGTTAATGAAATTTGGATTCCAAATATTTGTGTGTGGCATAAAGCTGCTTGTTTTTTGTTTCCACCTGCGTTACAAATGCAGCCTAACGATCAAGACGCAAAAAAAAAATTTTACATTTCACAAATTAAGAACTTGGACGTTCCATCAACTAGTTCTGCTCAAATTAGCCCAAGCACACCAAACGGCGATTTCTCAGAATTTTCATTTGAAAGCTCAACTTTTTGTTTTAAAATGGTGGAAGGATAAAGATCAGACATATCCCAGACTCTCAAAATTCGCACTTAAGGATGTAGCCTCAACCTCATGTATGAGGTTGAAAAAATAGATTTTTTTTTTCACATATTTCGATAGTATTGTTTATTAAGAATGTACTGTTAAAGTTTCAAATAAAAATATCAAATAATGACAGAGATACATCCCATAATCGAGAGCGCGCCTACACCGAAAAGTATGAGTTTCTCGGTAGCGTCTAAACTGTGTGCGGCGCAGGTGATTCACAAAATTCTATGGTACCGATCTAGCTGAAATTTGGATATGTTGTTCTAAAAAGTAACACCTCTGTCCCGTACTAGAATCATTTATTTTTAATGATTAGTTTTTTATCATTATCATATTTATCATTAATTTAAGATACATTTTTTAAATTAAAAAAAAAATTTTTTTTGTGAGTTTTCTTTTTTTTTTTATATGTATACTTTGGTTGCTATAAAGTGTATTAAACTACCACTCTACCAAGAATAAATTAAACAAAATATTTTCAAATAGTTTATGATGCCTATAAAAACATATGTGAAAATTGGAACGATCGCATTATTTTTTATTAAAAAAATAATTTTTTTTTAAATAACCTCTAAAAAGTAGGCCGGGACATGGACTACATCCTTAAAGTCCACTCAATGCCGGCAAGTAGTGCTGCTGCAGAGCGCGGCTTTTCTTTGGCTGGAAACGTCATTACTGAAAAGAGGAACCGTCTTTGCCCAAAATCTGTCGACAGCATAATATTTTTAAACTCGTATTATAAAGCATTTGACCATTGATTCTGTTTTTCGATCCTTTAATATAATTTCTTAACAAATTTAAAATCAAAATTAAAAAATGAAAATAAACGCTTTGTTGTAAAATTATTTTCATTGTGTTGCATTTCACCTTCTTCTTCACACATTTCATCTGTGCAAAAAAAGTTCAGTTTGCGTGAATGAGTAAAATCATATTTCCATGAGTAAAATCATTCGAGTTGATTTTTGTGAGTTGAGTGCTATTCTTGTTCAAAAAAATTATTGTTGAACCGAATGAGTAGCGCCCGAAATCATTATGCTGAACACGAGCCGAACAATTTGGAGGGACACAAAACCCTAATTTAAACCCTATTGAGCATTTGGTTTTAACCAATAATTAAGGAGCAATTGTGGGAAAAAGTCCAGGAAGAGTGGTGCTCCATTTAACAAGCAATATGCTCCAATCTTGTGGAGTCTATGCCTCACAGGTGTGCTGCCGTTTTAAAAAACTATGGTAACGGCACAAAATATTAAAACTGAATACATTTCATGATAAATTTTGCTAAACTAGTAAATTTAGAGAAGAATTATTCATTTCATTTCTATTTTTATTTCCAGGTCAAAAACATAAAATTTAACTTTAGTTTAATTTTTTAGCTAAATGAATAAAGCTAAATGGATTTCTGTTTTCTAGTAGTAAGATAGATGTACGAGGGCTGACAATAAAGTAAGGTCTCCAACGCTGCAACTTTGCCGGATCTGGCAACACCGCTGTGTTCCTTGGTTCCCCCACTACCACTTTGCTGCTGGGTGAGGCTTCCCGCTCAGTCTTGGCTGAGCAGCCGTCAACGATGGAGGTACCCCTCGCGTCAGCGTCCAAGTGCGAATTGCGTTCTGTAATATTTTTTTTTTGAATGCGAAAAAGGTGACACCTATTGAAATCCATCGTCAACTAGTTAAAGTTTACGGGGAAAAGTGTATGGACATACGTGCGTAAGTGGTGCCGCGAGTTCAATTCCGGGCGCACTATTGTTCACGACGAGGAGAGAAGTGGCCGACCGTCGGTCTTGGATGCGATTGTTCAAGCAGTGGAGGAAGAAATTCTCAAAAACCACCGTGCGACAATTCTACATGTTTCCCGCCCTGAAAAAACATCTCGGAGGGAAGAAGTTTGATAGTGACGCGGAGGTTCAGAAAGAGGTCAACACCTGGCTGCGCGAGGCGGACGGAGAGTGGTATTCTGCCGGCATAGACAAGTTCATCGTGCGGATGCGCAAGGTGTTGGAAAAAAATGACAATTGTGTAGAAAAGTAGCCAAGACCTTGCCCTTTTCAACGGTGTATCTCTTTTTAAAAATAAATGTCGTTTTTTATGAAAAAAAAAAATTGGAGATCTTACTTTATTGTTAGCCTTCGTATATACTTATATTAAAGAAAAAGTAAAATTTTTTTTTATTTTTTTTTTTTTTAATTTTTAAAAATACGTATTGGAACCCAAAGGGAAAATTCGTTTCTATTATTTTTTAAATCACTGTATATAGTCGGCCGATCCCGGCCGTTCCGACTTATATTCTGCGTGCAAAGAAAAGAAGGGTGTGTGCAAAGTTTCAAGTCGATAGCACACTTTTGGACAAAATTATAATACCCTCTGCAAAGGTATAAAAAAAGTTATTTGGGAGCTACATTCGTGACACATATCAATGTTGTCTCATTAATACTGAATAAAATAGGCCAATTTTATTAAGAAGTTATGAAAATGGTTGAAGTTATAACGCTTTTCCCAAAACAAGTCAATGCAGTCTTGCGAGCGCTCCGGAGTAAGTGTGTAAAAGAAAGGAATAAGCCCAATGGAAGGGCACTCTGTTATTTCAAAGCGCTCGCAAGAAATCAGAAGACACGAATAAAATCATGTGTAAAAATTTCATCCGTTGTGTTTAAAAATATTGGAGATCTTTTTTTTTCAAAAGCAA